GTTGATGGTGGTGGTTGGTGGTGGTGGTAGTGTTGTTGGTTGATGGTGGTGGTGGTGGTTGGTGGTAGTGGTGGTTGTGGTAGTGGTGGTTGATGGTGTGGTAGTGGTGGTTGATGGTAGTGGTGGTTGGTGGTAGTGGTGGTTGGTTGTGGTAGTGGTGGCTGATGGTGGTGGTTGATGGTGGTAGTGGTGGTTGATGGTGGTGGTTGGTGGTGGTTGATGGTGGTAGTGGTGGTGGTTGATGGTGGTGGTGGTTGATGGTGGTAGTGGTGGTGGTTGGGTGGTTGATGATGGTGAGTGGTGGTTGGTGGTGGTTGATGGTGGTAGTGGTGGTGGTTGATGGTGGTGGTGGTGGTTGATTGTGAGCAGTGGTGGTTGGTGGTGGTAGTGTGGTTGATGGTGGTAGTGGTGGTTGATGGTAGTGGTGGTTGGTGAGGTAGTGGTGGTTGGTGGTGGTAGTGGTGGTTGGTGGTGGTTGTTGTTGGTGGTGGTTGGTGGTGGTGGTGATGGTGGTTGATGGTGGTAGTGGTGGTGGTGGTGGTTGGTGGTAGTGGTGGTTGATGGTGGTGGTTGATGGTGGGTGGTAGTGGTGGTTGATGGTGGTAGTGGTGGTTGATGGTAGTGGTGGTTGGTGGTGGTGGTGGTTGGTGGTAGTGGTGGTTGATGGTGGTGGTTGGTGGTGGTGGTGGTGATTGTGGTAGTGGTGGTTGGTGGTGGTAGATAGTGGTGGTTGATGGTGGTAGTGGTGGTTGATGGTGGTGGTGGTAGTAGTGGTGGTTGATGGTGGTAGAAGTGTGGTTGATGGTTGATTATGGTAGTGGTGGTGGTTGATGGTGGTAGTGTTGGTTGGTGGTGGTAGATAGTGGTTGATGGTGGTGGTAGTAGTGGTGGTTGATAGTAGTACCAGTAGTAGTGGTGGTGGTGGTTGGTAGTACCAGTAGTTGTGGTGGTAGGTCAAGAGGTAATTGTAATCACCAAGACTCGTTACTCTTCACCCACCTCACCTAGTTAGGGCCTCAGGAGACGGAAGTGGACACACCTCTCTCTCTCTCTCTCTCTCTCTCTCTCTCTCTCTCTCCATTTTCCTTCACTCGTTTCTCCTTTCCGCTCACTCCTCATTTCCTTCCTTCATCCCTCCACCGTCCTCCCATCCCTCCCCTCCACCTCTCCACCTCCTCGTCTCCCTCTCCTCCTCCTCTTCCCTCCTCCACCTCTTCAGTCCTCTCCTCCCTCCTCTCACCTCTCCTCTTTCTCTAATCACTCTTTATCTCGGCCCCCCTCCTCTACCTTCATTCTCACTCCTCTTGCCATTTCCTTCACTCCCCCACAGAGAGAGATAGAGGCTCACAGTTCTCAAAAGGAAGTCAAGGGAAGCATGTTTTGCTCTGGGGCTGGTAGGAAGGGGTGAGGGGTGGGGGAGAGAAGGAGAGAGGGAGTGGGAAGAAGGAGGAGGAAGGGGTGGGAAAGAGGAGGTGGGGGAGGGAGGAGGAGGTGGAGGAGGAGGAGGGGGAGGAGGGAGGAGGGTAGGAAGAGGAGGAGGGTAGGGAAAAGAGGAGGAGGGGTAGAGGAGGAGGGTAGGAAAGGAGGGAGAGGGGTAGGAGAAGGGAGGAGGAGGGAGGAAGAAGAAGGAGGAGGGTAGGAAAGAGGAGGGGAGGGTAGGAAGAAGAAGGAGGAGGGGGTAGGAAGAAAGAGGAGGAGGGGGTAGGAAAAGAAGAGGAGGAGGGGTAGGGAAGAGGAGGAGGAGGGGTAGGAAAGAGAGGAGGAGGGTAGGAAGAGGAGGAGAGGAGGTAGGAAGAGAAGGAGAGGAAGGGGGGGAAGGGAAAGGAGGGTGGGAAGGAGGAGGAGGGGTAGGAAAGAGGAGGAGGAAGGGGTGAGAAAGAGAGGGAGGGGGTGAAGAAGAGAAGGAGGGAGGGGGTAGGAAGAAAGGGAGATAGGTGGGAAGGACTGAGAAGGAGAGTAGAGAGAGGGCAAGAAGAAGAGAAAGAAAGAGCAAAGAAAGGAGAGAGAGAAAGGACTGAAGAGGAAATAAAGAAGAGAAGAAGAAGAGAAAGGGACTAGAGAGAAGAAGAGAGAAGAGAGAGAGAAGAAGAGGACTGAGAGAAGAAAACAGAGAAGAGAGAAGGACTAAGAAGAGAGAAAAGAAGAAGAGAGACTAAGAAAGAGAAAGAGAGAGAGGAGGAGAGAGAGGGACTAAAGAGAGAGAGGAAGAGAGACTGAGAGAGAGAGAAGAGGGACGAGAGAGGGAGAGGAGAGACTGAGAGAGGAGGGAGAGAGAGAGAGGGACTAGAGAGAGGGAGGAGAGAGAGAGAGAGAGGGACTGAGAGAGGAGAGTAGAAAGATGGCAAGAAGAAGGAGTGGGAGATAGTGATTGAGTGAGAGGGACTGAGTGGGGGAGTAAGAGGTTGAGTGTGTGTGTGTGTGTGTGTGTGTGTGTGTGTGTGTGTGTGTGTGGATAGGCTGGCATGGGTGTGGTGGTGTGTGTGTGGATAGGCTGGCATGGGTGTGGTAGACGGGTGGTGGATGCCGGTGGATAGGATCGGTGACAAACATTATCGGGTGGTCGAATTGATGAATCGGTATTGGATGATCGTTGCTGGGCGGGGGCGGCGGGCAACGGACGGGCGGGGCAGGGGCAGGGGGGCAGGCAACAGGACGGGCGGGGTGAGACGGGGTGTTACAATTAAACAGTATCCACGTTGATGTAGGTATGGTGTACTGTGATTGGTTACATTATAGTGTGGTGATAGTGTTAATGGTGGTGGTGGTGCTGCTATTTGTTGTGATTGTGGTAGTAATGATGGTGGTAGGGATAGTGGTTGCGGTGGTGAGGTTGTGGTTGTGGTGATATTAGTTGTTATGGTGTTTGCAATGGCTATGATGATGGTGGTGGTGGTAGTGGTAATGGTCGTAATGGTGGTAGTAGTGGTGGTGGTGGTTGCGATTTTGGTAGTCGTGGTAAAGATGGTGGTAGCAGTGGTAGTGGTGGTAGTGGTAGTAGCAGTAGTGGTGGTATTAGTGGCAGTGATGGTTGTAGTGGTCGTAATGATGGTGATGGTAGCAGTAGTGACAGTGATGGTTGTGGTAGTGGTAGTGATGGTAGTAGTGGTGGTGGTAGTGATGGTAGTAGTGGTGGTGGTGGTAGTAGTGGCAGTGATGGTGGTAGCAGTGGTAGTGGTACTGATGGTAGTAGTGGTGGTGATGGTGGTAGCAGTAGTGGTGGTAGTGATGGTAGTAGTGGTGGTAGTAGTGGTAATGGTGGTGGTGATGGTGGTAGTAGTGGTGATAGTAGCCGTAGTGGCGGTGGTGGTGGTAGTGGGTGGTAGTGATGGTGGTAGTGGTGGTGGTGATGGTGGTGGTGGTGGTGATGGTGGTAGTGGTGGTGATGGTGGTAGTGGTGGTGGTGGTGAGTGGTGTTGGCAGTGGTAGTAGTGGTGGTGATGGTGGTAGTGGTGGTGATGGTGGTAGTAGTGGTGGTGGTGGTGGTGGTGGTGATGGTGGTGGTAAGTGGTGGTGATGGTGGTGGTGGTGGTGATGGTGGTAGTAGTGGTAGAGACAGGCCGCGTCATAGTGAGGTGAAATCAATCAACCAAGGCATGGCGACACACACACACACACACACACACACACACACACACACACACACACACACACACACACACATGGAGTCTATTTGTGGGGCAGGGCAGGGGTCGGGGCGGGGCACAAAGGGGCAGGGCAAGGCAAAGAAAGAGGGTGGCCAGCTTGTCATGGGGTTGGAGAAGACGGGCGGGGCAAGATGGAACAAGACGGCGGGCAAGATGGGGAACAAGCAGGCAGGGCAAGATTGGGGAACAAGGCGGGGCAGGGGCAAGATGGGGGAACAAGGCAGGGCAGGTAGATGGGGAACAAAGCGGGGCGGGGTGAGTGTGGGCTGGGCTGGGAGAGAGAGTAGACTGACATGACCTAGGCATCACAGGACGGGGTCGAGGCAGGGCAGGGGCAGGGGTGGTGCTGGCGGCATAGTGGAACCAGGCTGTGAGTACGGGGCGGGGTGAGAGGTGTAATAGAACGAGGGTGTCAGTACGGGGCGGGGCGGGGCAGGGCAGGGCAGGGGCAGGACAGTTGGTACTCCCCGGGGCAGAACAATGGCCGCTGGGGTTGCACCATCGTCAGGTGAATCGAGACATTGTGGGTCAAATCAATACTCGAGGAGTGTAGTGCTCGTTGTCCGGCCCTGTGCCATGTCGGCCTGTGCCATGTGTCGGCCCTGTGCCATGTGTCCGGCCCTGTGCCATGTATCCGGCCTGTGCCATGTGTCGGCCCTGTGCCATGTGTCCAGTCCTGTGCCATGTTTCCGGCCCTGTGCCATGTGTCCGGCCCTGTGCCATGTGTCCGGCCCTGTGCCATGTCCCGGCCCTGTGCCATGTGTCCGGCCCTGTACCATGTGTCCGGCCCTGTGCCATGTGTCCGGCCCTGTGCAATGCTTCGGCCCTGTCACCATGTGTCCGGCCCTGTGCAGTGCTTCCGGCCCTGTGCCATGTGTCCCGGCCCTGTGCCATGCTTCCGGCCCTGTGCCATGTCGGCTCTTGTCTGCTTCCGGCCCTGTACCATGTGTCCGGCCCTGTGCCATGTGTCCAGCCCTGTGCCATGTGTCGGCCCCTGTGCCATGTGTCCGGCCCTGTGCCATGTGTCCGGCCCTGTGCCATGTGTCCGGCCTGCACCATGTGTCGGCCCTGACCATGTGTCGGCCCTGTACCATGTCTGGCCCTGTGCATTGCTTCCGGCCCTGTGCCATGTGTCCGGCCCTGTACCATGTGTCCGGCCCTGTACCATGTGTCCGGCCCTGTCCATGTGTGTCAGCCCTGTACCATGTGTCTGGCCCTGTGCATTGCTTCCGGCCTGTACCATGTGTCCGGCCCTGTACCATGTCTGGCCTGTGCAATGCTTCCGGCCCTGTGCCATGTGTCGGCCCTGTGCCATGTGTCCGGCCCTGTACCATGTGTCCGGCCCTGTGCCATGTGTCAGCCCTGTACCATGTGTCTGGCCCTGTGCATTGCTTCAGCCCTGTGCCATGTGTCCGGCCCTGTACCATGTGTCGGCCCCTGTACCATGTCTGGCCTGTCATTGCTTCCGGCCTGTACCATGTGTCCGGCCCTGCATGTGTCCAGCCCTGTGCCATGTGTCCGGCCCTGTGCCATGTGTCCGGCCCTGTGCCATTGTGTTCGGTCCTGTGCCATGTGTCCGGCCTGTACCATGTGTCTGGCCCTGTGCATTGCTTCCAGCCCTGTACCATGTCGGCCCTGTGCCATGTGTCGGCCCCTGTGCCATGTGTCCGGCCCTGTGCCATGTGTCCGGCCCTGTGCCATGTGTCGGTCCTGTGCCATGTGTCCGGCCCTGTGCCATGTGTCCGGCCCTGTGCCATGTGTCAGCCCTGTGCCATGTGTCGGCCCTGTGCCATGTGTCCGGCCTGTGCCATGTGTCAGTCCTGTGCCATGTGTCCGGCCCTGTGCCATGTGTCCGCCCTGTGCCAT